AGTTAATGAAAAGATATCTTCTGTGAATCTGCATAAATTAAAGAAAACATACATTAAAATGACTCTCAATATTTGTTCATTCTACTCCACTATGTGGTATTGATTTAATAGAAATCAACCTGGAGCCTTTTGCCACCATTACCTAGATATCATGCAAAATAAGCAACTGAAGTTCAAATGAGACATAGGTGAGCTGGAGACTTCACCAACCTCTTTCTTAGAACTGAGAGTGTTTCATAGTAAGTTTGTGTAGCAAATTTCCAGTACTTGGAAGTGTTGAGGTAAGAAGCCATATCAAAGAGAAGACAAGAAAGTCTTGAGATGGAAAGTTCTTGCTGAAACACTTTACACTCCTTTAATAAGTTTGTGTGACTATTGTTAGTTGTCTGTGAGTTGGATCCAATTCATGCAGACATGTATATATAACACAGCACAAAACACTAACTAGGCCTGCTTGGTAAGTTTGGATCCAATTTTGCAGTATTGTTAGCACTCTATCATATCATATTCTATTGTGATCCATAAGGTTTTCATAGGCTAATTTTTGGAATTCTATTACCAGGCCTTTCTTCCTAGAGTGCCTTAGTCTACACACTCCACTGAAATCTGTCTGCTATGAGTGACCCTGCTGGTATTAAACACCAGTGGCATAGCTTCCCATATCCTAGCACCATGTAAGCTACTACAACAAACTGATAGGCAAGTCATTAATAAATTTGGAATATTTTAATTGTAAGATATACAAGGCTTGTTCTTTTTTCATTGTTTTTTTACCTGACTGGGGGAGAAGGGAAAGGCATCTTCAGAATTCCTTTGCCAATATTGAGAAGCCATGTGTCCTTTACAGTAGTGAAGAAAGGAAGCATCAAGGTCATCAAATGAAAAACTGCCAGCATTCCAGCTTCTCTACTCTAGGAATTATCTATATTTACAATATACAAACATAGACAACAGCACCTCCATGTCTTATGCCATAATACATAATACCTTAATACAGAGGTTCTCACCCTTGAACATTTAGCATTGGTGAGGATGTGGAGAAAGTGGGTTCCTTACCCATTGTTAGTAAGAATACAAAATGGTGCTGCTTCTGTGAACAGTTTGACAGTTCCTCAAACAGAACCACTACTTGACTCAACAGGTCTAGCTATACACCACCAAAGAAGTGAAAACAGGACACAAACAAAAACCTGTATAATAATGCTCACTACAGCACTTTTCACAATAGCTGAAATTGGAAACAGCCTAAATTACTATCAACAGATGAGTAGATTTTTAATAAAAGGTATGGATAAATACCTGTGGGGGTTGTGCATTTATAAAATATTACTAAGACATAAAGAGAAATTATAAGACACTGTTGGTTAAATTTTAGAAACATTATTTTGAGTGGAATAATTCAGTAACAAAAGGACAAATATTGTATAATCTGTGAAATAAGCAAATAAATAGAAACCAAAAACTTCTAGTGTTTACTCAGAGTGGGAGAGATGGAGAAAAAGAGATGTTTTTGCTTGACAAGGACGTTGAGTTTATTTACATTAATCATGGTAGAAAAATTAAAATGAAGGTAGTGATGAGGCTGCGTAACATGAAGTGAGTAATCATGTCATTGAATTGCACATGTAGAAACTATTGAATTGGGAAATATTTTGTTATATATGTATTAACCATAATTTTTAAAAAACTATTTTCCAGTATAAGTGATCATATTATGGGATTAAAAGGGAAAATACATATAATATATGCTAAAATCTATTCTTTTCTGTTCTGATCCTAATTATCCACATTTAAATCACATTTCATAAGTTAAAGGCTTAAGTTCTCCAGACTGCAAGTTCTGCCCAAGACTTCAAACAGCAGCTGCAGTTCAGAGGTTGCCAGGCCACCCATACTTTTAACTGACAGAGTACGAATTTGAGAATTCCCACAGCTCCCTCAAGACATTAGCTACAAGCTTCTGGAGCCCAAGCCATTGACACGGCTGACCAACTGCTAATTCAGTGGTTATCACTAACCCCTGAGGTTTGACAAATAATTCACTAGAACAACTCAGAGAACTCAGGAAACCATTATATCTATGATTACAGTTTTATTAGAAAAGATTCAAATGAGGACCAACATAAAAAAAAGAGAGAGATGAATAGGGTAAGGTTTAGGAGAATTTCCAGTGTAGAATCCATGTCCCCATGAATGTATTACACTCCATGTTTCAGTTTTTATCACCAACCCTAGCTCCAGTGTCCAGAGTTTTTCATGTAGTTTTACAATATAGACATGATTGAGTTATTGACCACAATAATTGAATTCAGTCTCTGGTCTTCCTATGGTTGAACTGATACATATCACAGTGTGAGGTGGCAAGTCTTATGAGTCATTTTGGCATGGCAAGGTCACATCCTAAATCACCTTCTCAACTTAAGATCTCCGGTTCAGAGCCTTCCTGTGTTAACAAAAACACTCTATAATCATTCAGAAAAATGCAGAGGCTTAGAATGTACCTTCCAGGAATCAAAGACCAGATTCTTTGGGTTAAAGTAATTGTTCACTCCGCATGCATCACTGTTAGATACATTCCTCTCCCCCAATTATTTATAATATTTTTTAAACTCTTGGGAAATTACAACTCAGTATCTATTTATAATATTTTTTTAAACTCTTGGGAAATTAGAACTCGAAGGAAACCTAGTTAACTCAGTAAAGATGTAACATAGAAACCTAGAGCAAGGGTTGATTGGGCAAACACACTGAGTTCCAACTTTGGACATCCAGTCTGTATAAGCAGTGGTACCTCCACTCTTCTCCAGATACCCAGAGCGTAGAAACAGTCTAGGGAGATGGTGTTCTAGCCTCCATGACATGCACACACAACCTGTCCTCTGGCAGACCTGTCCTCCCAGCTCATCAAATCTTGATCATAGATGCTCTCACAAAGAAACCCGCACACAAGCACACATCCACCACCGCTTGATACCCTTCCACAATTCTTTGTTAGGCTACCTCTTCCAGTACTTGTCTTCATTTATGGTTTCTGTTCCTTGTCATACATCCAGAATATAAATTGTGATTGAGTCAACTCCAACCTCTGACAATTTCGTATGTGTCAGAGTAAAAACTATGTGCTTTAGGGTTTCAAGGCTCCTCTGGGTTGACTAAATCCTCCAACATTTCACTAGCCCTTAATCCAGTAAAACAAAACATGTTGCCATGGAGTCTGTTCTGAGTCATGGTGGTCGACTTCATGTGTATAAAAACAAAACCAAGAACATTGCTGTCAAGCAATTCCATTTGTTTCAATTCATAGTGACCCCACAGAGAAGAATTTCCCAATAGTTTCCAGGACTCTCAGTCATTAGTGGAGCAGACTGTCATACTTTCATCCCTCACAACATCTAATGGATTCAAACCTCCAATTATTATGTCAACAGCCAAATGTTTAACCACTGCACTACCAAAGCTCCTTGACTCTAGATATTAAACTCACTCTCAGTTAAGCTCTAATTCCCCAAATAATTCCTCAGATCAGTTTTCCATGTCCAGCAGGTTTGACCGTTTACTGAAAATACACATCAGCTGTTGTTAGGTGCCTTTGAGTTTAGTACAACTCATAGCGACTCTATGAACAACAGATTTGAACTCTGTCCTAGCCTGTGCTATCCTCATCATCTTTGACACACTTATGTTCATTGCTGCAGTCACTGTGTCAATCCATCTGTGTCTCTAAATTATAAAATGTAGCCCCCAATAATGGGTACCACTTGGGTTTGGGGAGCTCTGGCTGCATAGTGGTAAAAAGCTGTACTGCAAACCCAAAGGCACACGGTTCAAAACCACTAGCTAGTCTGCAGGAAGATGGACAATTCTCTCCTTTGCAATTCCCTGCCTCTGAAAACCCACTGGAGTGTCAGTTATGGATTGGTTCTGACTCAGTGGCACATAACAACAACAACAACTAGGGGTTTTAGGGACAGGAGAATTGAAGAGTGGCCTCAAGAAAGGTGAATTTACTAGCATGAGAGTCCTCAAAATAACCTACATACTTCTAGCTCTGGTGGACAAGCACTGACTCTGAGCACTGACTTAGTCTCTCTAAGCCTCAATCTCTTCATTTGTGATATCAAGACAATTTTTCCCTAAAGGGTTTTTGTGAACAATGAACAAAACACAACTATCAAAATCTTAGCCCAGCACCTACAACATGAGAAATAGTCACACTAGATTCCCTTCCACCCTCAGGGTATAGAATAGCTCTATCCAGAATTCAAATGTGAAATTGGGCTCTCCATCCTGAATCCTGACTGTTGGAGGGTCTGCCTTAGAGTTGTGATGAGAATCAGAAGAAATCATATATATAAAGCACTTGATACAATGCCTGACCCAAATACAAAACTGACAATATTCAGCAGCATCACTATTGAGGGCTTACTATGTGCCGACCAGTGTTTTAGCAGTTTACAGCTATGAGCTCATTTAATCTTCATCAAAATTCATTTAAGACTCAAAGCAGAGTAAACTAGTCCACTTCTCTTACTCTGTATCTCTGTCCACCACAGTTTACTTTCTTCTCAATGAATTATAAACCAGAAAGTTCCCAAAATGTTAGATGAGAAAATGAAAGATGTTCCTGACTCTATTCACATAGAAGCCACTCCTTATGGTCCTTCACTCTGCCATATTCTCTCCTCGGGGCTCCAAGAAAAAAGAAAGAGATAAACAATATTCTCACTGCAGTTTATTCCTTAGAGATAATCACCAGCAAACCAATGTCCTCTGTGACATAGTAGGAGCCCCAAAAGGGACAATGATCTTTCTTCCCCAGGTTATAATCCACATTAGGAATATAGCCTTTGACTGTGGGCTATTCCCAGAAAGGTGGTTGCCTTGAGTTGCTTTGGTTTCCATGGACAGAAGAGCCATACGATCCAAGCAAGACTTTGGGGGTTGGAGAGTATTGGGGAAGGATCTCCTCACTTGGAGTGCAAATTGTTGGAATTTTGCCTTTAGGAAATATGCCGACCTGTAGAGCAAATTAAAAGAGAGCTAGTGAAGCTTACATCCAACTTGACACCATTGCTTATATCTCTAACCACCGCATACCAGAGACATTAATACAGTGTTGCTGAAAACTGTAGGTTGCTTAGAGCTAATACCGGAGCCACCTTCAGTCCCCTTTCCCATAGAAACTCAATTGAGTAGAAGTAAGAGTGAGATTTCCTCTTTTCTACTCCTACTCCCAGCAACAGCAATTTAAACCAGGCCTTCAACTAAATCCTCATGAAGGCTCATCTTTATAAATGCCATTAGTTGAACTCCAAACTGAACTCTAACCCTAACTCCCACCACCACTACCATGAAACCTAGAAGACAAGCAGATCAACAAAGAAATTACCTTCTGGATAATTGGACCCAGGGAGGAAAGTGTAACCTAGGAGAGGAAGATACTTGATTATAGGGAGATATTTGTGCATGAATGTAGCTGGCTATATTCACAAGGAATAGGAAAATCAGTTACAAAGTGAAAGCAGAGTTTGGGAGCAGGAGTGTGGGTAGTTCAGGGGAATTACTCACCAGACGGTCCAGATTTCCTCCAGCTGACCAAACCAATAAAGAAGATTATAAGGCCCAGGCCTAGAGTCACTGCAGACACGGAAACCTTCACTATCTGCACTGGGGACAGTCCAGGTGCTGCAAAATAGAACCTTACTTGTACATCAATGTTCATAGCTGCATTATTCAAAAGCAAGAAAATGGAAACAGCCAAACTGTCCATCAGCAAAAAAAAAAAAAAAAGCATTGAGAAATTGTGGTACATTCACATGATGGAATACCACGCAGCTCTCAGGAGCAATGATTTTAAAAAATACTACATAACATGAGAGAGACTAGAGAGCATTATGCTGAATGAACGAATTCAGTCTCATAAAGACAAATACTCCATAAAGCCATTATTATAAAAATAGGAGGATTATTGTTTGTAGTAGAAGAGATATACCAAAGTCCAAAGAGAGACTGTCCAAAGAGGAGGGGGGTTGAGGGTGAGGAGGGGTTGGGAATCTCAAGGGTCCAGAATTTGGTGGGCAGAGTGAAGGAGTGAACCAATGAGGAAAGATCCAGTGGAGACCTGAAAAGGTGGGGTAATGGTGGGCATGGATCAATGGAGATTAGTTTTATAAAATACAATGTAAGGAAACAATAATATGAAACAATATGAATAGACAAGTACATGAAATACGATGTATATAAATGAAACAATGTATACAACTTCTGTATGCAAACTAATATAAAATGTTTAGAAAATCAGTATCTTACTAGAACCACTCCACATTGCTTATTCCTAGAGCAGCTTAATTTACTGTTTATACCCAATCCCAAGTGACTAAATCCCCTAGGCTCAGAAGTCCTTTATACCAACATTGAGTACAAATCATAAGAACTCACTCCAAGGAAATGGCTTTTCCTGCAAACCCCTGCTCCTAGATGAACTCTGTGAAGCCCATCTCCCCATAGTTAGCTCCCCAGCTTCCAGTTCCTCTCTAGCTTTGTGGAGTATCATAAGACCTCGCCTTTCCTTCCTTCACTGCAAAAGCACTTCCTGTAAGAAAATAAATAGTTCCTCTCTCCAGTTCTCCATGATGACATTGTTTATACACCTTTGCTTGTCCCATCTCAGCAGGTTCTTATTAAACCTTTCCTAACTTCCAACGTTCCATTCTGTCCTTTATCTTAGTACGTTTGGGTCTCCTTACCTGTCCGCATCCAGTTTTTCCACAGGTCCTTCCAGAGTCTATCTCTGTCCTACTCTCTCAACTACTGAGAACTTGTCCCACACTGAATGTTGCCCCTGCAGGATTCCTTTTCCATGCTAAAATGAACACTCCCCTAGCAAGAGGGTCCTTGTGCACTCTAAAAGGAGACTTTCTCCAGAAAAGCTGAGATTAAAATGGGAGTTCCACTCTGGTTTTCATGTCCTTCCCAGCTTCCCAGCAACACACAACTGGCAGACCCATGAAGGGCTGACCTCACAGCTGGTCTGGGATCCTGTTCCTTGACTCTCTGCAAGCATCTTTCCTCTTCCTCTTTTCTTCCCAAGAATCCCAAGATCTGTGTGTAACTTCCCTCATTATCTTAATTCTCAACTCTGGGATTCAGGTAATGCTAATTGGCTTCTTGTTTAATAGACACCCCCCCCATACACATATACAAAATTGTATACTAGCTGTGACTTTTTTCTCCCCATCTGTAACAGCCTACATTCACTTCTACCCTTGTGCCAGTAAAAAGTTCTCTTTCTCCTGTAATCCTCTTGGTTTTCCCTAGTCCCTGAATAGCAGAAATCTTCAAAGTCTAGTATCACAATTGTTTCTGAATTTATGCTTACAAAATCTATAGCCTACTTTCAGCACAATCATGCTCCCCTCTTACCCCCAAGCACGCACCAACTTCAGTCACAACATAACATTAACAACATCAACAATAAAATTTACTCTGTTCCTTCATCCCACTATCCCAACATCCCCCATAAATTTCTTTATAGACTCACTGCCATATTCCACATCTTTCTTTGTGCTTCATTCCTATCCACATCTCACTGCCTCTGCCATAATACTGGTTTTCCTTTTACTAAGATCAACTTAAAATATCTCTCTGCTTTCATCTTAACTCCTTCTACCCACCATACACTTACTCCAGTCCTCAAGGATGGGGAGAGAAGCTCCAATATGTTCCACCACACAGGTATAAGTGTCCCCAAAATAGGGGGTCAAAGCTAAATGAGAGACAGTCTGGTATGTCCAGTCGCCATTGGGTTGGGCAGTCTTCTGGGCATGGCTGTGGGATGAGATCGGATTTCCATTCTTCCTCCAGGAGATAGCCACCTCTGCTGGATAAAAGTCCCACACGTAGCAGGCCAGCATCACAGGCTCCCTCGTATTGAAAGGAGTGACTGGGGCCACTTTCACAGACGGCGCCCCTGCATGGGAGAGGAAACATGGTCATGAAGGAGGGCAACCTGGCTTTTTCTCTAACCTTTCTTTCTACTTGAAATACTAACAAATCTTTGCTTAAACCATTCACCCTGTGCCCTCTTAAAGTGAGAGGCTAGTGTTGACTCCTGCTTTGTTCTTTCTCATCTCCTATTCCTCCACTGATTCTTTCTTCCTCAAAATTTATGTTTGATCACAAAAAGGAAAAGCCAAGTCTGAAGTGTCAGCTGTTTCAAAAGAACACCATTGTGTTTATTTCGAGTACATAATGGAGCGCAGCAACCTGGTGATAAATGAAAAAAGTAGGAAAGACTTTTTGTAACCCCTTCCCAAGAAATATTGCTTAGCAAATCAATTTGCTTAAATAAAGCCTCTCTTCCTGGGAGAGTTAAACAGGCCTAACTAGGGACTCTCACTGCTTGGAGATTCAGAACTGATGCAGAGCTGACGCTTCATGGGGTTTCTGAGGCAGTGATCACATAGGAGGAGCCCATCTTCTCCTGTGGAGCCACTAGTGGATTTGAACTGCTGGAGAGGTGTGGTCCTTGAGTAACAGCACAACTCCTTCTAGACCAGGCCACCAGAGCACCCTTATGTCAGGACTGTTGTTGTTAGGTGTCATCGAGTCATAGACAACTCATAGCAACCCTATGAACAAAAGGCCTGAGCACTGTTCATAGAGTTTCCGGAGGCAAGCCATTTCGGAAGTGATGCCACTCCTACTTCCAGGCTTGTTTTAATCAGGAAGCTCCAGCAAACTCTGTCCACCATGGGTAACCATTACCATGTTTGGCACATCAGTGTCACAGTGTTCAGCATCACAGCAACGACGAGTTACCTCTGTACAGCAATGCACAGACCAGTGCTATACCACCTAGAAGAATGTTTGACAGAAAAACAATTTGAACCAGGCCTGAGGGCCACAGATTAGAATCACCTACCTTAAGCTTAGTAGGGCTAGCTTTCTTAAATTTAGATTTAGGGTCAATTTAGTCCATGGGGGAGGGGGTAAAATTGAGTGCTCACCTTTCAGTGTTTGACTGCTAGCCTAAAGGTTGTCAGTTCAAAGTCACCCAAGGCAACTTGGAAGTCAGGCCTGGTGATCTCCTTCCAAAAGGTTATGCTCTGGAATTCACTATGGAGGAAACAGTTCTGCTCTGCACATGTAGGGTTACCGTAAGTCAGAACTGACTCCATGGCAACTAGGAAAAAACTAACAGCTTACTGCTGTCAAGTCAGAACTGACTCATGGTTGAGCTTCCACTGTGTTTCTGAGGCTGTAAATCACAGAGTAAGAGACTGGCTGTCTTTCTCCTGCAGAGCTCCTGGTAGATTAGAACCTCTGGTTTAGCAGCGCTGCTCCCTACAGACTACATCACCAGAGCTCCCGCTATGGCAACTCGGGACAACAAATTAATGATACTGTTAATATTGTCATCTTTTACTAGTTTATTCTCCTAGGTGATACTTCTGCTTCCCTCTCCCTTGGTTTCTTCCAAATAAAATAGTCAATATATATCCAATAATTTTTTTTTATTCAGTTGGGCTAAAGTGGTACCCAGCGAGTTGCATTTAAAAAATACCTTTTCCAGGCAATTCAGAGATTGATGGTTCAGAAACCACATCATTAAACACACTGTTACGGCCTATAGAGATCTTCAAGTTTTCTCTTATGAACCTCCAAGTCATTCTCCCCACAAGGGATCAGGGGAGAAAGAGATCGTCAGAATCTTCTGGGGAGACTTTTTAAATACACCAACAGTCACCTCCGAACTACAACATCAGTACTGAGGTCAACAGACCTGGGCATGTGGAAAAAAAATAATTCTGGATGATTTGCTAATTCCCTGGTGGAACTTGGATTCTCTGGTTGAACTTGAATCTGCATCCAAATCTCTGCTTGCTCACCCACCAATCAATGCCTCCTCATCAGCTCAAATATCAGTCCTTTTCTAAAGTTCCTTTCCACTCATGTTAACCACTTTGTTTCCACACGAAGGCATTGGCATCCTCCCTCTTGCTACATTCCATTCCACGTACTTTCCAGTCTCCTTCCTGCCCAAATTTCAGACTCCTTATCTGCTGAGGGATCCTCCATGACAACCCCCGCCTCGTTCCATCTCCTTACGTGTTCTGTGGGTCAGTGATTTCCAGTAGGGCTGTGTGTGGGTGGCACAGTCCTGGAGCCCATTCCTCAAGCGCTGGAGTAAGTTCTCCTGTTGATTGAGGTAATAAGAGAGGTATTTGGCCAAGCCGTTTAGCACCCCAAATTCACAAGGGACCATCTTATCCTCATCTGGGTCCCAGCAGGTCAGCAGATCCTTGTTGAAGGAGACACAATATGTAAAATCCTTTGGCGTCCCCTCATCATCCAACAGACATTGACTTTCCACATGAGCCACAAAGCCACCTACAGGCAAAGAGAACAAGGTAGCGGGGAGGAGATGGGGGAAAGTGTCAGAAGTGGTTCTCCACTGGGAACCCAAGCCTCAGTTTACACTCCACTGGTCAAGCATAAATTCTTTACTTCACACAGTTATCTGCTGGCCAAGGTCACATATCTGGAATTACTCAGAATTTAAGAGAATAAATAATAAAGTCAAATATATTTTTAGACTTATTTACCTCTTTATGTAAGACTAAGTATGAGGATAGGAGTGATCCAAGATGATTACTTGCATGCTTAAACACATATTGCCCAGAACAGACAAGTTATTAAGTAAGAAAAGTGATAAAGGGGGTCAGCCTCATTCTGTGCTGAAAAGACGATTAAATATTCACTCTGCAGATACTTATGAAGCACTTACTAGATGCCAGGCACAGTGCTAGGGCTGAAGAGGCAGCTGTAAACAAGGCAGAAATTGCCCATTCCTACATTCCTGCAGTGCATATATACTGCCAAGATAATTATAATTTAATAACTACCAAGATTGCCACAGAGGTATAGTATAAAGTGTTTTAGGAGTATATTATAGGTATATACAAACTAATCTGAGTAACCAAAATCAATAACAAAACTGAATCCTATACCCACAAAACAGGCCAGGGAAGAGTGTCCTTACCTGCTCCGGTGCAGCCCAGGCTGAGGCCCAGCAGCAGCTGCAGGAGTAAGGTCATGCTCTGCGAAGACAGGGAAATTCAGTCCCCACGGCCACCTCTTCCAGGGACCTTGAATCCTGGCTTGCACCAGAAGCCCCAGCCTGGGTAGATGATTTCTAGATACTGAGAGGAATATATAGTATTGCTCCCAATCCTTGATCCTTGATAAATAAATGATTTGGGGCTATTTAGCCCCGGAATACTAAATCTGTTCCTACCACCCCAATTAAATCAGGCGTGGCAAACTAACAGTTTTCTGATTGGTTAGTTAAATGAGAACAAATGTAGAGACAAATAGCTGAATGCCACAGCACAGCATCATCAGTTACTAGGTGAACTTTATTTTTCCCGAGGCTGTGGCTGCAAGTCTCCTAATCTGTTTAATTATTCTTCCTCCCACCTCCTTTTTAAACATCCAATCTCTTTTTTCCACCAATTCAAATGTCCACCAATTCAACAATTCCTCCATTGATAACATTCTTCAAGTTGTATCTTTCTCAGTTCTTTTTGTGTGGAATAACCAACCACTTTGTGGATAGAGTTCCCTAAATCAGTAAAGAGAATAATTCAATGTTCCCCAGATCTGTGCAGCCTGACTGATTGCTGCTTTAACTCTGTCCACCCAATGTTGTCTAAGAAGACAGAGCTAGTGAACCTCTTTTGTTCTCTGAAGGGAGGGTGTCTAGGAAGATATATTTTGCTCTGTCTGTCTCTTGGGACAGATGATGACCAGGAGTCTCTTCTATGGCGTGTGGCACAGGTAGAGCTGGTGAGAGGGAAGGAGCCACAGAGAGAGTCCAGTCTTCTGACCAGAACCAAGGCTGCAGAAATAAGGGAAGCAGAGCCACAGAGATCAGGAGTCAGAGCTTGGAAAATCCCTCCCTGGGCTTCCTCTCTTCTAGATAGGCAGGCTTCATTTCCTCCTCAGCTCTCAGCTGCCAGGAAACACCAGCCTCCTACGATCTGAGCCATCACGGGCAGGGGCAGACCACAGGGTAACTCCATTTAAACTCACTAACAAACAGCAGGTGATGCTCCAGTGCCCACAGCTCATCTGTCTCCCCCAAACTCTAAACTCCCCTGTGTGTTTCCCCCACTGGTCCTGTCCATCCCAGGGCTATTTGAAGCATTATGAGGCCACTAGAAAAAATAAGATCAAACTTTCCTTTTTTTTTTCTTCTTCTCCTGGAAAAGACAGATTTTAAGTGGCAATTCATTCCCTTTACCCTTCACAAAATTAAAACTCTAAAATAACTTCTCTCTGATCCCCAGAAGGTTCAAGGGCTCCTTTCCTCCACCTTAATTGCTGAATGCTCTTGGAAAGATATAACAGTGGACTATTAAAACTTCATCTGACATGCTTTGGGGATGTTGCAAGTAGGGACCAGTCCTTGGAGAGGGACATCATGCTTGGAAAGGTGGAAGGTCAGTGCAAGAGAGGAAGACCCTTGATGAGATAGATTGATTCAGTGACTGGGATAATGGAGGTAGGTGTGTCAAGAGACAGTGAAGTTGACTCAAGATAGAGCAGGGTTCAGGACTGTTATATATAAAGTCACTATGCTTTGCAAGCAATTCAATGGCACATAACAACAATGACAACCAAACAAAAGAAGGTTAGGAAAGAGCCTCCTGATACAATACTCATGCTCCTAACTCCAAAGGAATATACTAGTGAAGAAAATGTGGGAGAAGTATGTATCAAAAATTAATTTTAAGAATTGATGTTGTTGTTAGGTGCCAGCAAGTCAGCTATGACTTAAAACAACCGTTTCCCCTTTCCTGCACCATTGACATAATCTTCCACACTCAACCCAAAAATGAACATCAGAATTGAAGGATTTCTTTTATATGGCCAATTGAGATCAACTAAATCTCTGCCCATATTCTCAGTCACTCCTATCACCAACTCCACCTTGCTCACAACACTGTAACCCCTCTAATCACGCATCAAATGTGTAGGAGAAGACATAAAACATCAGAGTAGAGAATCAAACATTTGTTGAGCTTCTATTTTGTGGCCAGTCCTATGCTAAATAGGTGCTTAGTATATTATCTCATTTAATCTTCCTAGGTTTGTTAACTATCATCATTTTACAAGTACCAAAACAGGCCCAGAGATTCATAGCCAATGTCTAGTGTCTTTAACAGTCTTTCTCATCTAGCCTTTATAGACACCTACACACACATGCAGCTAAGTGGGCTCATACACTTACACAAATACACATATCTCATGAATTGGGAGGCCAAGGTAAAGTGGGATGGTGATGACCTCTGATGAGAAAAATAACTAGGAAGGGACCACAATAGCCAGTTCGATCCACCCACCACCCAGCTTTTGTTCTCAGAGTTCCCTTTCCTTTTAGAACAACTGTTTCTTTCACTTTCTCTTTTATAAAAGCCTTAAATGCAAAATCTGCCTTCGTCCTGCCTACACACTCCACACATACTCTTCTTTCTACTCCAACCTCAAAAACACTGTGAGCCTAACCATGCAGGAGCAGCATCCCCGAATCCTATAAAGCCCAGCCCTGGCACGAGAATGCTTGTGTGGTAACCGGCACCCGCCCGGCCTGGCCTTCTGCCAGCAATGGTGAGATCGGCATTGTTTCCTCTGTGTCTAGGGCTCTGCTCTGGCAACCAAAGGAGAAATGAAACTTGTGTTAGGCAGCAGCAGGAAATGGTGGGAGATTTCACTTCTCTATTAATGTGAAGGTTTAAAGAGACTTGTAGAATAAAACAGGACAGATAGAAAACCCAGAGACTGTGTTCTGTGGAGCAATTTCTTCCCTCCCTACCTCTCCACAGTCTTCCTTTCTCACAAACATAGCCCTATCCCATTTTCAGCCAAACCAACAGAATATTTCTGTTTTCCTGTCAACTATTGGTCGGTGGTGTTGTTGCCAGATGTCATCACATTAACTACCACTCATGAGTGACAAGTCTGAACCTCACTCTATCCCAAGCCATCTTCATTGATATATTCAAGCCCATTGTTACAGTCATTGTAATTATCTTTTTTGTAAATCAATTAATCTTGTTGAGGGTCTGCCTTGCCTCTCTTTCTGATCTTCTACTTTTGTCAGCATGATGTTTTTATCCAAGGGTTGATCCGTCCTGACAACTTGCCCAAAGTATGGACGGCAGAGTTTCACCATGTGCTTGCTTTTTTAAAATTTTATTATTTATTATGTGTGTGCAGTCAAATCAGATCTGACTGGTACAGAAGGAGATTGTCCCTTCTTTTCCAGCAGAGCATCTGGTGGATTCAAACCATGTACCTCTGGGATTGCAGTACAGCTTCTTGCCACTAGACCACATGCTTGCTTTTAAGGAACTCCCTGGTTGTCCTTCTTCTAAGATAGACTTATTTGTTCTTTTGGCAGTCCATAGACTATTCAGTACTCTTCTCTAATATCATGATTCAAAGATATCTAGTCTTCTGCCATCCTCATTTATTATCCAATTTTGTGATGCATAGGAAGCAGTTGAAATTCCATGATTGGACAGACATATCTTTGTCTGTAAACTGATATCCTTGTTCTTTAGCACTTTGGAGAGGTCCCTGGCTGCAGATTTTCCAGCATGTCTTTTGATTCCTTGACTGCTGCTACCATGAGAGTTGATTGTCCATCTAACTAAAGTGACGTTGTTGACAACTTCCATCTTTTCTCCATCTATCATAATACCTATCTTGTTACACCTAAGAAATTTGAAAACTTAGTCAGTTCCCACATGCTTCTCTTCTTTTACTGTTATGCCTACAGGCCCAGGAATCTATGCCTTTGCTTTTTAGTGTTGATAAAGAGTATTGGATATCCCATGGACTGCTAAGAGAACAAACAAATCTGTCTTGGAGGAAGTGTAACCAGAGTGCACCATAGAGGCTCTTCCCTAATATTAATCCAGTCCCACGTTCAGTTTTACCTCCAGATCCTCTTGCGTGAGAGGCCTTCTCTGCTCACACAACACATGGTTTCTCTAAGTCTATTATTGTACTTGGTGCTTACTTGCTTTAACATAAACTTTTATCTTTCTACATATTTGCTCTCTCTCCCCATCTAGACTTTAAATGAACAAATGTGGAGGCAGAGTCACATCTCCTACCTCTGTGCATTCTCTCTGAGACCTCTCTAAAGTGCTAGAGAGCCAAAATATCAGTTGAAAGACTAAGGTGCACCTGATCCAAGTCATTGATTTTCTATTCTTTCTGTTGCATCTGAAAGTTGGACAATGAATAAGTATGCCAGAAGAGCAGATGCCTTTGAATTGTGGTGTTGGAGAAGAGCACTGAATGTCCCAAGGCCTGCCAAAAGAACAAATAAATCCTAGAGAATGTATGACCAGGACGCTCCTTGGAGATAAAGATGGTAAAACTTCATCCCACTTATTTTGAACATGTTGTCAGAGGGTCCAGTCCTCAGAAAAAGACATCCTGCTGGGAGAGGTGGAAGATCTGAGAAAGAAAGGAAGCCCCTCAGTAAAACAGATTGATGGTTACTATAACAATGGGTTAGAGAATGACAGAGGTTGTGAGGATGATGCAGGATAGTGCATGTTTCTGTTGCTCACAGGGTCACTAAGAGTCATAATTGACTTGATGGCGCCTAACAACAACATCCAAGGGTTCAGGGAATCTTGATGGCACCATAGTGAAGCACTCAGCTACTAGCCATAATATCAGCAGTTCAATCACACAAGCAATCACAAAAGGAGAGAGGAGGGGATCTGCTTTGTAAAGATTACAGTCCAAGAAACCCTATAGAGGCAGATCTACCCTGTTCCATAGGGTCACTAGGAGTTGGAATAACCCTGACAACACACAACAGCCTAAGGGCCCAAATAATGAATTCTTTCCTTTCTCCTCTGAATCTTTCTCTACTCCACCCACCACATGCCTCCAGAGAACTAACCATGTCAGAGGCAGGAAATACGAACTCTGTCTCCATATAGTTTCACTTAAAGTCTAGTTGGAGTAAGAGCAAATATGTAAAAAGAGAAAAGTTTATGTTTGGTAA